GTTGTGGGCGGGTGGGCTGACGTGGCAACAACCAAGAACGGGATCATCAAGTATCAACTCCCCAGGGGGCATTTCGTGTTGTGACAAGTCCATAAACACTCACCACCAGCTGCCGTACGCCCGCCATCCACGCCAGCAGCTGTTCTGCCGTCAGTGGCACCACCATCACTGACAGCGCCACCGCCGGCTCGACTCCCGCCGCCGCCGCTGATGCCGTACCTTCCCCACCGCCGCCAAGCCGATACTCAAAATCTGGAAACGCCGGCGGCGCTGCCGTCGGCTGCTCCGGAATCCTCGGAGGAGCACCGTCCGTCGTAAATCGTACAGGAGACGCTCCGGAACCGGATCCGGGTACGGCATTACTTAGCAGCGCGAGACGGTGGTTGGCGTTTTGTCGAAGCTATGTGAGTCGGTCGCGTGGTGTTCGGAGGGGGGAAAGTGTATGTGTGTTAGTGTTGGGAGCGGGGAATGAGGAACGGCGGCGGCAGGGGAGGGGAGATGGAGTAGGAGACGGCGGAGGAACGGATGGGATGGGGGAATGAAACGATGAACAGGAATATACACACACACGTACATGTACGTATGCATGCATACATGCATACATGCATACATGCATACATGCATACATGCATACATGCATACATGCATACATGCATACATGCATACATGCATACATGCATACATGCATACATGCATACATGCATACATGCATACATGCATACCCCCAAGACCCCCCCCCCGCCCAGCTAACCTTGTTGACATTCCTTGAGAAGCCCGGGTCGCTCATCCTCATGGCCGAAGACATGCCCCCACCCACAACACCCACACCAAGAGACCCGTTCACAACACCGCCGCCACCACCACCACGCGCCAGCACCGCCGCAACAAAGCCACTGCCGCTGCCGCCAGCGCCCGCCGCCCCTGCTGCCGTACTGCCCGCTGCCGTACCCGGCGGCGGCATAGGTCCACTGGCCCTCAGAAAGGCGGGCGATGTAAGCAGCTTCGGGTCAGTTCTGCAAAACACACACGCACACATTGTATGTGCGGGATTTAGGACTCCATATGGGGGGGGAGTTAGGGGGGATGGGGTCGCTAATAGGGAATGGGGGCATCTGCTGGTGGGCGGGTGGTGGGAAACCCAAACCCTCGCCAAAAAAAGGAAAAGAAAACATGTCCCCCACATATGCAAATCCACCAAACAAAGAAAAATCCATACGGACGGAACATTCCGTGTCCAACTGTGAGAAGCCTCTTTCCCCCCCCCATCCTTTCCCCCTCCTTCACGCACACGCACACGCACACGCACCCGACAAATGCCCGGATCTCCTCACTGGGGTAGCCCCCGTCGGCCAGTGCCACCACCACCTGATGGGGGAGTGTCAGGGGGGTGCAGGGGAGGGAGGGAGGGAGGGGGGGGGCCTCTTACAGCGAGGGGAGGAGGGCCTCTACTGTGCACACCTCCAATCCAATATCGCCATCCACATGGGGCAACACATTCCGCCAGCAGCCACCTCCCGCCGTGTTTCATCCCGGTTAGAGGTCACTTTGAGTGCACAGACATCATCAATGTACGGCAGTACGAAACTCACCTTGGCGGGATCATGCATGTCCATAAGGTCTGCCGGGTTGGGGAGGGACTCCGCCCATCGGGCCTTATGTGGTAGTGATGGTTGGGGCCGGGGGGTTTGGGGGAAAGGGAAGGAGGGATGAGGATTGAAGGGGAAACAACATGCGGGGGAGGAATGAGCCGCAGGGAGAGACAGGAGACCGTACAAAGCGCCAGGCCCGTGATGTTATGAAATGGTGGGAAAAGGTCCCACCGCGAAAAGGCACCCTCGCAACGCGGTCACATAACCCCCCTGTTGCATGCATAGCCGAGACAGACAGACAGACAGACAGACAGACAGACAGACAGACAGACAGACAGACAGACAGACAGACAGACAGACAGACAGACAGACAGACAGACAGACAGACAGACAGACAGACAGACAGACAGACAGACAGACAGACAGACAGACAGACAGACAAAAGCACACACAGG